AAATAGATCATTAAAATTGATTGTATAAGAAAAAAGGAAATTCACGTATTTTGTATAAGTAACAACTGATCTTTACAATAAAATAATATTTTAAATGTTTATCAGGCTTTCGAATCACGAACAATTCAAGGTTTTCAATCGTCCGACGCAGATCGACTTCAATATTTATGCATAGTTAGAATTCAGTAATAAAAGTAAAAGCTGAAAAGGATACAGACTCTTGTCTTGTCTTTGCAGAGTAGTTAGGTTGGTTTTTACTAAATTTTTAACCATATAATGATGGGTATGTTTTGCCAGTAAAAATTAATTGCAGCACATTAAATAATTTGAAAGAATCTTGAGGATGTGAGTGGGTGAAGGTAATGAATGAGAAGAATACACATACCCACACCCCGTATTGAATATCAAAAGGAAATATCTTGTATCTATCTTTACATGCGAAATTATATATCTCATTATTCTTTTGTCTTTAATAAAAATGTTTTTATTTAAGAAATGTATATTGACTGAATAACATTCTGTAATACTTGACAATCAATTACGATAAAAATGAAATCTTAAATAAGACTAATTTTTTCTTTATGAATATACTTTGAAATGTAAATCATTAGCTTTTATTTATATAAGAAGAAGACTCGAAAAGAATAGAAAAAAATAAAGATCAAAGAAATATTTCAATACAAATAACACGTTTTTTGATAAAAGTAAAAATAGTTTTTTTTTAATTATTAATTAAATATCATTTGTTGAAGAAAACACAACCATCTTGTACTTCTCGATCATATCCATGGTCATCTAAAAGCAAAAAATTCAATTCATGAGAATTATCAGTTCTTGAACGCTTCTCAATGTTCTACATACCGACAGTTATTACGAGAGTACGATCTTTATGTACGATTTTATATGAGGCGAGTGCACTAACAGTTTGCCTACTTCATACCGGGTTGTGTCAGTATGGACATTAGTATTGACGGTTTGTTGGTATTGTGCTAATGCCAATGCTGTTGCTGCTGTTTATTCCTTTTCTATATAGATTAAGAATGTGATTTGTTTTTATATTGAAAGTATCAAATAAACTTACTGACGAATTGGTAATTGTAATAAATATAAAATAGTCAAACTTTTCAGGAGATAGATTTTTACATAAAAGGAATAAGCTTAAATATCCTCTCTTGTGAAAAGAATATTTTATGTATTTGCATGCATATTACCCACCCTAATGGGTCGAATTAATCATGTTATACTTATTCTTGAAGTGGCTTGTCGCTCCATCACTAAAACACACGAAAACGGGTTAACATAAGATCTTCTGTTAAAAGTACCTCAGATAGTTGATTTTAGTAATTCGAGGGTAATGTCTTTTACGAGTTTGAAAATTACACGTTGAGCACATTATACAAATGCTGTGTCGTGACGCATATAGTCGCTAATGATGACTTTATTTTTATGATTTATCTCGACTTTTATGTGTATAGTAAATAGCGTGGTCTGCAGATGGTCCCAGTGAGCGGCTTGCAGTTCCCGTTGACGAACAAGTGTGTAGTTCTCTGCGAAATCCATCTGCACTGTGGCATCTGACGTATCATTAGATAATAATCGGAGATTATTGAACTATAATAATGCAATGACATTGGAGAATTGACGAAGGCAATCGACTTTGAACATACTTATTGTAAGCCTATGAAAGAACAAAATGAACATTTTTTTCGTAATTAACTATAGAGGCACTTACTTCTAGTAAAAGACTCATGTTTTCGTGAATATGGCACAGACATGTTTCGTGCGGACAATCTAGTTTAACTTGATATGGTCTCAACGAACAGAAAGAGGAGCTGATGACTTTAACCATTGAATAATCATCATAAAATTTTCTTAAAGCGTCTCAAACTGTCATCTCCATGAATCGCACAGGGACTAGTTCACTCTTTATATTAATTACAGCTTTGGTGCTGAATAACATTCGACTGATACCATCCTCTAAATAAAACTGGATGATGAATTTGATTGTGCCATGTTTAAGAAATTTGTTTCCACGCGTGTGTTCAGGATAAGCAAGAACTTTATTCTTCTGATGTAATAGAATAGCTTATCTACCACGGTGGTTACTATGTCTAAACCGTTTTGAAAACATAACTCTGTCCTCAGCTTGATGACGCAATTGTCGGTAGAGTGTGGGTGTGTGTGGTTGAGTAAGAATAAGTAGAACATCCATACATACCTACTCTTTACATATCTTCAATTTGTAATTTCGTTATTCAATGAATGATATAACGTCTGATATTGTCAGCTTGGTGTGGATCGGAAAAATAGTTAAAGCCTAATACGAGAGGAATTGATTCGAATGTTTCATTCTTCGTCCAAATATCAACTGTTAAAGCAATTGCTTTAATACTAGTAAATGTTGATCGAAGTTCTACACGATATTGATGATAAATGGAAGTATGGGTGTATCGAATAGTTTTTCTAGTAGGAGCACGACTAAAAAGAAGTCAGTGTATGGTATTGTAATATGTATCATATATTTGTATCAAGAGAATAAAGGTTTATACTTTATAAACAAAATCCTGCAACTCTAAGTAATTTAAGCTAATAATAATTTACGTATCAAGCATTTTATATAAATTTCCGTCATACAATCGTTAGAGAAAAATGAGACAAACTTAACGATTTATTTGTTTATTAACTTACTATCCGGGTTATAAAACATTCAATAATTTTGCCATTCCTGGACGTCGAAAATCCCCAAAAGACCGACCATCGGTAACTATGCAATCATGTACAGCTTCATCAAATAATCTTCGTTTTTCGGGTTTTGATTGGATTTAGTTTTGGAATATGCTGCTATTATTTAGATGGATATAGAAATTCTCACATTTTGTGGAAACGACCTAAATGACTGCGAAGATTAGCATCGTTGTTGTTGGATGTTTTTATGATCTAAATAAACGCATATATTTTGAGAATTATAAATATTTTCTATTACACATAAAGATATACTGTAAATTTTTTTGAAATTCTACTTTGTGGAAAATAGATCTTAAACAGGCTCAAGCATTTCATAGGTTTATGATTTATTCATTGAATTTATACAAACTCAGCAATGCTTGATTTTCCAAGTTATAGAAATTAAAATTGATTTTTGAAAAAATTATTCTCTACAAAATAAAAAAACAACATTGATTTAAAATGAAACTTGAAATCATTTTCGATTCTGAGAAAATCATTCTATCAACTACGACATGTTTTTCGTCACTAATTTAGATAATTAATTATTATAGTGAACGCGTAATGTGTGATTGGTTTCATGATCTTGAGGGTGGTTGTGGGTATGACTGTGCATTTCATTTTTCATCCGCATGCACACCCTCAAGAATGCACATGCACCTACACCCTATCGTTCGTGGTTGTTGTAGGATCCGCGCGGACTCATTTCGCTTTTTTATTCAATATTGCATCAAGAACTCCAATTTGAGGCTAATATTTTATCCAATCTCTAGTCATATGTTGGTCTATATCATTCTTAGTAGAAATCATGGATAAGTCTTCTAGACAGAAAACGTAGCTGTGGGTCCGGATGGACCTCACGACACCTATATTGCTAGCGGTACACAGTGGGCAACTTTCGTATGCCAGGCGGACATGTAGTTTTTTTCCTTGAAAATCGATTCCTATAGCTTAGAAATGATCATATATCACTTATAACACCATCTTAGATGAAATAAACCATGTTCGAAAAAAAAAATTTTTTCTCTAAAAATGCCTGTGGAGGACCTCAGCTAAAATTTTCGAGAAAAAATTTTTGTCAAAAAGTACGTATTGTTGCATGTCATTCGATGCAGTTTTACGTGCTAATTTGAAATATCACCTTGGTTCTTTGCTAAGATGCTGTTTTAAAGCATAAAGGGGACCTTACTTTTTTTTTAAGTTTTCTCTGCGTACAGGTCGAAAAAAAATTTCAAAAAAACGCTTTTTATTACATATGGTTAGATGCAGTTTTGTGAGCTGATTCCGAATATCACATTATTTTTGCGTCAAAATGTTCCCATCATCTCAAAACCAGCCATTCCGGGGCAGAAACCTGGGTTTTTGGGAGACCTCTAACTCGGCCTGTGTTCACTAATACAAAATCGCGCTATGGTCAATGATAAATCACCCAAAGGAGAATGGATGGTAAAAATTTGAGCTCAATCGAGCGAGAATTCTTTGTAGGGTTCACAAAATACGGCCTGACCTGTTTTTTGACATAGTATGGGCCCAACAATAATTTTTTTTGTATTCCATTTTTGGTTCAATCCAAATAATTTTTTAATGCAATATAGCTTATGGGTCAATCATTCATTTCAGATAGTTTTTCTTTTTGAAATGTTTTGATAAGTTCAGAAAAATAATGGTTTTCGTAGAATTACCGATTTATGTGCAATTTTTGAGCATGGGCATTTTTAGGGGTATGACTTAATTTCTGGAAATTTAGTTTTAGGGTAAAATAGACTAACCATAGACGTATTCATTCCATTATTTGAACTTTGGAAAATAGAACTTTCGGTCATGTCCGCCTGGTTGCCCACTGTGCGGTATATCTTTCGTCTTGCTAAAGCTACTATCTATTGATTTAGAGTATTTTGGAGATGTGGGTGTAAGTTAAAATGTGAGTATGGTTGACTGTGTTTCCTTTATATACGCATACCCACACCCTCAGCAATTTGCGTCTTCGGTGATCTTGTTTTCGGCGAAGAGGTACATAATCTAAAATAGGTCAGGGTGAGGGTTAGGCTGAGTTACGAACACCGTTATCTATACCCGCTCACACCCACACCCATAACTTAAATATCTACCAATGAATCGATGATAAAAATGTATGTGAAATCCATAGAACTAAAATATCGTAGATTATATATTTTTTATTAGTAAAAATTAGTTAAAATAACAAGCGATATTCAATGTCTTTTTTAAAAAATACAAATTAACTTTAATCTAAATTCTAGAAATGTTATTTCACGTTTTCATACCCAGGTTGAACCACTAACGGATCCGGTTTGCGTCCTTAGTCCAGTAACAATGGACTGTGAACTATGTGTTTTTGATGGAAGTAAAATATCGGTACTATCGTCCACTTGTGAAGATTCCTTTTGATAATAGACTTTATCATTTTCTGGAATCAATTTCAAAGTTTTGGCTGAAAAATCATCAGATTGAGCTGTTTTTCTTCGTACATTTTTGAGTAGCCAATTTAGACATTTAATTCGCGGTTTCTTCAACACACCAATCTGTTCACATAAATTCCAAACCATATGACCAATATTATTTTCATAGGGAACCATAGTCTTGTCATGCAACAGATCTTTCATCCAAGATCGGTTGAAACTGAAATTAGGTTCAGTTGCGACTAGGATTAAGCCTTTCTTTTCATCTCTTGATTTATTAGTAGAAATTATGTAAGATAATTCTTGAAATTTATCAGTACTTTCACCATAGGCTGTTGATACCAAGATAATAATCACTGTTGCCGATATAATATTTGGAGATACGTATTTCCACATATCATCAGACGGGTCAACATTTTCATAGTCAACCCAAATTGGTATTGTTGTGCTCTTACGCAACTCTTTTACAAATTCTTTACAAAACTCTTCGTTGGTATGATCATAGCTAATATAGATTTTCGATGATCTTTCTTTTTTCTGTTCGTTTGTTGATATAACTTGCTGAATATTGCACCAAATACGCTTTGCATCATCTCGTTTAGGACGATTAGCAAGGCTTTCTATGATTATACAAAACTGATGATTATCAATTAATTGTTTTAGATATTCTGGATAACTGGAAATTTGTAGTAGAATTCTAA